AAGGAGGAAATTCTGACACATGCTACAGCATAGATGAAACTTGACCACATGATGTTAAGCAGAACAAGACAGATACAAAAGGACAAATATTGGATGATTCCGCTTATATGAGGCACATAGAAAAGGGAAATTCTCAGAGGCAGAAAGTAGACTAGAGGTTACCTAGGGTTGAGGAAACCAGGGTGGCGGTGGTGGAGGCCGGGGACTGGGGAGTATTGTTCGATAGGTACAGAATTTCAGTTTGGGAAGATGGAAACATTCTGGAAAGGAATGGTAGTGATGCTTGCACAGCAATGGAAATGTTCTTTATACCACTAACTGTACACCTAAAATGTTTAAAATGGTAAATTTGGGGGCACCTGGGTGGCTCAGTCGTTAAGCGTCTGCCTTCGGCTCAGGTCATGATCCCAGAGTCCTGGGATTGAGTCTGGCATCGGGCTCCCAGCTCCGCTGGGAGTCTGCTTCTCCCTCTTTGCCTGCTGCTCCCCCTGCTTGTGTTCCCTCTCTCGCTGTGTCTCTCTCTCTGTCAAATAAATAAATAAATAAATAAATCTTTAAAAAAATAAAAAATAAAATGGTATATTTTATGTTACGTATATTTTACCACAATAAAATATTTACCAAAAATGCGATCAATTTATTATGGTTATTTTTAAATCACTCCATAAATAAATTTTTGAACTTTTCAGGGTTTTTTAAGATTTTATTTTTATGTAATCTCCATACCCAGCGTGGGGCTCGAACCCACAACCCTGAGATCATGAGCCGCTGGCTCCACCGACCGAGCCAGCTAGGCGCCCTTTGAACCTCTCAGTCTTAATTTAATACTAAATATTTATAGATACAACTCACATACACAAGAGCTCTTTGGGGTCCTCAATAATTTTTAAGGATGAAAAAAAAATCCTGAGAGCAACAAGTTTGAGAACCTCTGCTCTATGAGCAGCTGAGCTGAGCCTGAGCTAACTGTCCCTGACACATCTCTGCAAGAATCAACAATTTCCGGATTAAGTGCAAAAAAATGTAGTTTTACATTTCTTCCGGCCAAAGCAGACAGGCGACCTCTAGTGGAAATACAAGGTATCGCTTGACGGCGCAAAATTTCTCGGTAATTTTGCAGCAAACACAACTAGACGCTCACACACACACAGACATGATCAAACACGCCTTCACACAAACTCTCGCACAGACCCACATATGCGCGCACACACACACACACACACAGCAATACTGTAACACATACAAAGAGACACAGACTCACATATGGACACACACTCGTTCACATACGCATACACACGCGACACTAAAAATAGCATATGATTAACAAAAGGGACTTGGTAAATTACCCCCATTCTCTATTTTTTTATTGTAATGGAAAATGAGTTTCTTCCCAAAGCCATTAAATAAATGTTGAACAAGTAATTAAGATGAATCTAGGTTTGGCAGCATGCCCAATTAGAGGTCCACAATCCCTTAGCTGAAAATCCTTGGGGACAGATGCATTTCAGAACTCAGAACTGTTCCAATTTTAGAAAGGTAATTCTGAGCTAATGCTATATTTTACGTAACACTCCCAGGGGCCTGAGACAGCCCCCTCCCTTATATATATTTGCAGCAAAACGCTTGTGAAAATTCACACTAAAAGGAGATAAAGAGTGTAAATAACTCATATTAGTTGATCGGCCACCATGTGACACTGGGCCAAAATTACCCCCCAAAGAAATATTTTTCGGTTGTCACAGCTTTTTCAGAATTCGGAATTGTGGAGAAGAGACAAGGGATCCCAGTAGCAGGCCCCACGTGCACGCACTTATATTCCTGCTCCGATTGTGAACCTCGGATTCCAGGCCGGGGTAGGCGTTGGGGAGGACAGCGACTCTTTGGCGCCCTCTCCTGGCAGTTCCGCCCCTCGCAGCTCGGATGCAGACGGGATGTCTACAGGCTTTGGCCTGATCCAGCGACGGGTCCTGATTGGGCTAAATCTTCCGAGTAATCCCGCCTCCACTTGCCAGTGAGTGGTTGAATCCAAGCCGTAACCAACCGCACCTGACGGCGCCTCGCCCAGTCATTGGGTCCAGGTTCATCATGTGACCTGCACTGCTCCAATCAAATTGAAGGAAAGCCCTTCAGCACACCAATAGGGGCCAGGCCTCCCTCCCTCCGAGGGATGGGAATGAGTTCACAGGTGCCTCCATCTATAAGTGCCCTGCGAGGCTGCTTGGGGAGGAGGCTGACCCTATGCCCAGAAAGAACTAGAAACAGCTGGCTGAGGGCCCAGCTGTCCGACAGCGCCACCGCACTGGTGCCAAGGCCATGCTTCCCTGGGGCTCCTCCCAACGACGACACAGCGGGTACTAGAGCCAGCCCATTACCACGCCACCCAGGACTCCTCTGATGGGCAGCCTTTGTTTAAGGACCCCCGGAAACACACCTCCGCCCCCCCCCCCGACTTCCTCAGGACTGTGTTACAGCCTGAGGCCCTCTGGCCCAGTCCCTCCTTCCCTCCCTCCTTTCTTGACAACCAGATGGATGGAGGTGGTGATGGTTGCACACCACCATACTTAATGCCCTGTACTGCACACTTTAAAGTGGTTTAAATGGTAACGTTTATGCTACGTGTATTTACACACACACACACAGATCTGGACCACCCACTTTTCCTCCAGGCCACCATCTTGGTCTAGCCGCCACTGTCCCTCACCTGAACCACGGCAGTGGCCTCCTCCCTGGGCTCCTGGCTTCTGCCCTCGCCCCGTACCGTTCCTTCCCACCCCGCAGTGAGAGAGTCCTGTTGACACCTAAGTTGGCTCTGTCCCTCCTCAGCTCACAAACCTCCCATGGCTTCAGCTCACTCCAAGCAAAAGCCAAAGTCCTCAGGGCAGCCCATGAGGCTCTGCACCATCTGCCCCCTTTCTCTCTCTCAGCTCACCTCCTCCTGCTCTCCCCATCACTCACTCTGCTCACTCACTGGTCTCTTGGTGGTTTCTTGGACAAGCCAAGCACCTGAGCCTCGGGGTCACTGCCCTTGCTGTTCCCACTTCCCGGCACATGCTTCCCTCAGAGATCGGCATGCCCTGCCCTTGCTTCTGCCCAGTGATCAACAACTCCATCCCTCCCCGTCACCTTGACCCTGATTATTTTCCTCCTTGGTGCTTCTTATGACCGGTCATAACGTATATCTACATTACTAATCCTATCTTTTGTCTGTCTCACCAGTAATATGTCAGCTCCCTCGAGAGCAGGACGTTTTGCCTGTTTTGTTCACGGCTGTGACCCCGGTGCCTAAAATAAGGCTTGGCACATTGTAAAGGCTCAGTAAATGTTTGCTAAGTGCAAAATTAAGAGACAGCGGCCAAGAGAGAGACTGAGAGATCAGGAAGAGAGACCAACACGGGGGAGGCGCTGGGCAGAGGAGAAATGGGAAAGTAGGTGGGGCGGGGGGAGAGAGGGGAAGAGCAAGGTGGGGGTGTTGGGGCAAGATGGGGGAAGGAGAAGAAATGGAAAGAGAGCCAGCCGGGGTGGAGGGCGACAGAGGCAGGAGAGTGAGTCAGAGAGAGCCGAGTGAGGGACAGAGGCAGAGGCTACACTGAGAGAGGTCAGGGAGAGACAGAGAGGCAGAGACAGAATGAGAGGAGGGTGGAGAAACACAGAGACAGGAAGAGAAACCGAGGGCCGGGGAGAGATGGAGCTGGGGAGAAGAGGGCGGGAAGCTAGAGAGCCCAGGGGGAACAGAGATGCAGCAGTCCCCATCTCCAACTCACCACTTGCTGGTCTCCAGAAGCTCTGGGCTGACTTGATATCCCTTGGGATCCAGGCTGTGGTTTTGAATCCCTGAGGGACAGATGTGGGTAGAGAAAGAACATGTGATGCTGTTCAAAAGGCTGCAGATCACTAGCTTATTTGTTCCTCACGGAAACTCTCAGTACTATTACCATCTTCATTTTACAGGACCAGGAAGGTTGAGGAACCTGCCCAAGGTCACACAGCTAGTGAGAGGAAGAGCGGGAATTTGAACCTGGGCGTCTTGACCCCAAAGTCAGTGCCCTTTAACCATCACCTGTGCTAACTACAAAGGGGTGCTGGCTTCCCGGGTTGCCCTTCAGTCTGGAGACCCCCCCTCTGGGAAGTGGTGCCAGAAGGGTAGAAGTGGGGGAGGGAGGTAACCAGAATGACTGACATTCTCAGCCCAGTCCTCAACCACAGATGTCCCAGCCTGAGCGAGGAGGCTCAGCTTCACTCTTTCTAGGAAAGTCTCCAGTTCAAGGGAGGAGGCTGGACAGGAAAACCACTTCGTGCCTATAGGGTCCGATGCCCTGCCCGGAGCCAGGCCTCAGTCTTCTGGGTGGGAAGATAGATTCAACTACCTTTGACTCTTTCAACAGGACCCAAGTTTCTCTGCCTCCCGCTACCAGGAGCATTGCAGACCAGAGAGGTTGTACTTATCTTCAAAGGCAGTGCAGTGCTGATAACTTCCTCTGTGATTTCCAGGGAGGCAGAGGAGCCCCCCACCACCCCTGTTCATCCTGGTCTCTCAGACCCCAGGAAAAAAGCCTTATTCCCTCCCGGCAGCATCCTGACATCTCAGGGTGACTTAGCTTCTGTCCCTGACACTGTAATCATACTACTCACAGTCCCCCAAAACCCCAATTAATCATCCCACCTCTCCCGTCTAATCCTGGGCTGTAACAGGAGGGCAGACCCCCTGCTTCTCTCCAGACACACTCATCTTCTACCCCAAGGATACAGAAAGCTGAGAAGTCCTTCACGCTGTCTGACCTTCAACTGCCCTGTTGCAGATAAGCTTCCTCTCCCAGCCCCCAAAACTACATGATGGCGATGGGAGAACCCCCCAACACACCCCTCACCCCCACCCAGGTCAGGGGAGAATCCACCCAACCCACCCACGGCAAGAGAGACAAAGATCAGACGCCAGGAAGGCCTTCCCCTCACAAACTTGAAAGGGGAGACATGTCACAAACAATACAACAAACACAGCACCAGGCAGTTGGGGCTGGAGTTTATTACAGGGGGACATATGGACACGGAGATTCAGAGAGGAGAACGGTGGGCTGTGGGTTCTGTGCTCAGACTCCTACGGAGGGTGTCAAGAGGCAGAGGTCAGGACCGGGTCTGCCAGATGGTGGAGGACCCCGGCCTGACGGCAGAGGAGCGAGGCCCTGGGCCAGCTCCCCTTGCTCCCCCCCCCATTCTTCTGGATGACGACTCCGGAGACGCTAGGCGATGTCATGAAGAGGGAGTCCGGGCCCAACCGGGTAACGGAGCATCCGCCGTGGGGGCGCGGGCTCTCGAGGGCCGGCGATCCAGCTTGGGGTGGAAGGGAGGGTTACCCGGGTCCTCGCCCCCCCGCGGCCTCCGGCGTCTCTCTGGCTGTCTGGCGGTTCGGGCGGCTGCTGGGGTCGCTGTGGCGGCGGCGGCGGCGGCTGCGCGGCAGCTCGAGCTGGGGTCGCGGCCCGCCGGGGGCTCCCAGGAGGCAGGAGACCGAGGCAGCGGCGGGCGCCAGGGCAGGCGGCGCGCCCGGACGGGCGGCGCACGGAGGGGACGGCGCGCTGGGCGGCGGGCCGGCGGGGCCCGCGGGGGGCCGCGTGGGAACCCAGATGAGCCCGTAGTAGACGGCGAGCAGCACGGCAGCCAACGAGACGCAGAGGAAGTAGGCGCAGACTGGGGCGAGGCGCAGCCAGCGGCCCCGCGGGCCCTCGCTCAGCCCGGCGCCACCCGGGCTCTCGCCGCCGCTGTCCACGCAGCTCGTGCCCCGCATCCCCGCAGCCCACTGGGCCCAGCTCAGCGGCCCGCGCAGGCCCCGCCCCCGCGCCCGCCCCCCTGACCCACCCCCTCGGAGGACCGCCTCCGCGTTCTAAAGCTCCCTCGTCCAACCCCGCCCCCGCCAGCATGGTCACGCCCCCGAGCGGGCGGGTCTCCTCCGGGCCCTGGGCCCGCCCCCTCCTCAGTCTCCAGCCAACCATAATCAAGCTAAGGCTTAACTAGTGTTTCCATCCTGCCCCAGGCCTGCAAAGACAGCTCTCTGCTCTTTCCACTACTGCCGGGCTTCGGGGTGATGCCCACGCCTCTTACCTGCGAACCCGCCCAGCGCCTAGCCCCGCCCTCCCCTTTCTGGCCTCCTCCCCCAGTCCTAACCCCGTCCCCTTTCGCGACTCAGACTTCTCCCAGGCATCTAGTCCCGCCTCCGAGCCCCACCGCCTTGCGAGGTTTGGGCCTCACAGACCCCCCGCACTTCCTTAGCCGCAGGCCCGCTCCGCTTCTAACGTGCCTTTCTCTGAATCAGACTCGACTCTTAGCATTCGAAGCCACCCTCTTCACTCCCTGGATTCACACTCTCTAGTCCAGGCTCCACCCCTTTCCTCCGCCTCACTCCACTAGTTCTAGCACCGTACTGAACACGCCCTCGACGGAGGGCTGCACCCCACACCCGCATTAGGAACGCCCATCTAAACCGGCTCACGCGGCCCCATCCGACATCTAAGGCCGTCCTGTGTTCTAACTCCATCCACCAGAATTCTGGCCCCGCCCAGGCATCCTAACCACGCCCCTGGCGGGACCTCCTCGCTACTTAGTGTCCTGAGGTCTAAACACTCCCCGAAGCCCCACCTCTGCCCCACAAACCCAATCACGCCCCTTCCCCAACTCCTCCCCACCACCCTCAATTTCTCCCTCTCCCTAAAACCATGGGATCCAGAGCGGTCTCCGGGGAGGAGAGAGCGCAGCCTGGGAATCCAGACTAACCCCCTCCTGCCGCCCCCACCCCATCAAGGCGGGGAAGCTTCAGTCCCCTCCCAGCAGCGTCTTCAGGAATTCGGGGAGGCCTGCGGGAGGGGGGGAGGGAAGACGTATCAGGGGAGTGGAGGAAGGAAGACCCCCTTCCTCCCGCCTCTTCCGCCACGGAAAAGCCCGCTAAGCACAGCAACCCAGCCTGCCCTGCCAGAAACACAGTTCAAAGGTTAGCGGAAGCACTGCGTTTAATAAGAGAAGGGGCCGGTGGCCGAGTAATTCCGAGTCCTGTGGAAGAGTCACCGGCTATCTGCCAGGCCCCAGATGTAAACTCCAGGAGGCGGCAATCTAGGCCTGGGGACCGGCACCTAGCCCCCCAAGGCTTCCATTAGGTGGGTAACTCGGGGGCGTCTCAGCCCTCCCGGTGCCACGGCGCCCCCGAAGCGGGAGACTGGACTATTGCCCTGGCCCCACCCCGTTCACTGTCCCTGGCTCCGCCCCCCTTACATTTAACCCTCTCCTGGCGGGAGTGTGACGGAAGCAGAGGACAGAGGAGCAAGGCGGCAGGAGGTTAGTGCAGAGAGCGGAGGCCACAGTCGGCGGGCGCGGTCAGCGGGCGGCCCCCGGTGGCGGAGCGGCCGCCACCACCTTGCAGAAACGCACCCTCTGGAAGTCGGTGATCTCCGCTGTCTCCTGGCCCTCGGTACCCGCCTCTGGGGAGAGAAGGGGTAGTCAGCGGAGAGGACAGTCTCCCCCCCGCCCCCCCGCCCCGTCCAGTTCCGTCTCTGATCCCAACTGAGCCCGGCTGCAGTCCCCCTGCGCTAGGTGATTTATGGGCCTCAGACTTCTTTAATCTTCGCAGGGGACCCACAAGCTGCATGCACCCCAACAGAACCCTGTGTACAATCGAGGAAATCATCTGGGATAGCGAGATTACGGTCACCCTAAACTGTCCTCTCGCACCCCAGCCGCCCCCCTCACGCTCCCACGGGCATAAACTAACTCCCATCACGCCCCGCCATCGGACCTGTCCCTCTCTGCCCTTGCCCACGAGGGTGCTGACCAGATCTTGCTTGGCTCTGCCCCAAACGCTAACCCCGCTCCTGGGGAGGTCCCTGGTTCGCAATCTGGCTTGCGCTGATGGAGCTGAAGACGGGGTTGGGCCCAACATTCTAATGGGGCCTGCATTTCTGTTCTAATTTACCCTACTTGGTTAGACCTCAAAACTCCAATCCTGCCCACAGCCAAATCCATGATTCTACCCCTCCCCCATTCTTACTTTTGACCTATTTAAATTCCTAATCGTGCCCTCAGCCCCGGCCCTTGAACCTAGCCCCACCCCATTATTTTTAGATTACATCCCCAAACCCCTGGGGTCGACCTCCAAATCCCAACCCCATCTTGGCTCCACCTCCTCACGGCCCACCTTTCCCCCTCCGCGCCCCAGGGATTCTCCACCTAGCTCCACCCCCTCGACCTTGGCGCCTGTCTCACTGCACCCTAGCACTGTAGCCTTCCCCCCAGGGCCACTGCTACCCCACACACCCAGCTACACTCTATCCCTACTCTTCCCCAAACCCTTCCCTCAGCCCCGGAGGGAGAAAAAGGAAGGAAGAAGGCCATCTCGGGCCCCATCCGCTCCCCCACCTGGAGCTGCCTCAGACCCTTCCTCTTCAGCTTGCTGGGTTCCTGGGAGGCTGGGCCCACTCTCAAGGGAGGCAGGGGCTGGCTGGTCACCTCCTGGGGAAGGGGGAGGCCCAGTCAAGCCCCTACCCCTCCAAATTTCCCCCCACCCTGAGAGAGAAGGCCCTGGGGGAGTGAAGGGTGTTCAAGGACACACTTGGGTAGTATCATTTGAGGACGTGAACTCTTTATTGGGGAGGGGGCTCTGTGGCCCAGAGCAAGGGCAGGATGGGGGGGGGCATTCCAGAGACAGACATGGACTGTCCTCCCTAGCCACCAGGGCAGTGGGGCACACAGGGTCCCGGGGCCCAGCCCCTGACGGTCCCCCCTGCGAGTGTACCCCTCAAGCACACACACACACAAGCAGCCAGTTTCATGCATTTCCAAAAGGCCAGGCCTCACCCGGAGACAGGGCACTGGCCGGGTGGGGGTCCCGGGGAGAATTCAGCTCCATCTCTTCACCCCAGTCAGACACGGGTTGGTGGTCTCCAGGGGGTGAAAAGGGGCTGGAAGGCGTGGCAGGGGCCTGGGGCAGTGGCGGGGGCTCCTCTGGCCTCGACAGCTCTGTGTCAGCCTGCTCACCGGTGGGACTTCCGGTGCGGCTTCGGGGAGGGCTTCCGGTGGGCTCAGCCTCTTGGAGTTCATGGCCTTGGGCTGGCTCTTGTTCCTCCTCATCAGCCTCTTCTTCCTCGACCTCCTCTTCCTCCTCCTCACTCACGTCTTCCCACTCCTCATCCTCCCCCTCGCCCTCCCCCACATCCTCCTCCCCCTCGTCCTCAGGGGGCCGGTGGGCAGGAGGAGCTGGGGTCTCCGGCGGCTGCGGGGAACACAAGGCAGGTCGGGGCGAGGGGGTGGGCCCTGAGCACCGCACGCTCCCTGCCCAGAGAGGACGGCCCGCCTTACCTGCGTGGGCGTCTCCTCAGCTGGAGCCGGCTGTGGGGCCTCAGGGGCTGGGGGCACTGCGTCCTTTGTCTCCCAGCGGTCATCATGGTCACTGGCGGGCACAGAAGGAAGGGGTGAGGCCTGGGTGGATGAGAAGAAGGGGCCTCCAGGTCCTCCCCCAGAGAAAAGCTGCAAAATTCAACTCAGGGCAGGAGGGGGCCGCAGCTTTCCAGGTGAGGGTCCAGCATGTTGGAGCACTGAGGAGGGAGTGTGTCCCCAGGTGTCAGGGACAGACAGACGGAGGGGCGCCAGGTGGCAGAAGGAGTGAAAGGAGATGAAGGGAGAGATGGAGGTAAAGCATTTACCTAGAGAGCTAGGCCCCAACTCCCCAACAACAAGAGCCTGACCCCCAGAGAGACAAGTAGCCAAGAACAGACAGGCCCCCACATACAGGAGTCAGAACAACCAGCGATAGAGCCAAACAGCCCTGCTGGGGGCATGGGGGTGTACACACACCAAGGGTAGGGGTGCCCCCACCTGTAGGCCCGAGGGGCTGCCTTGGTCTGGGGTCGGCTACTCTTCCTCCTCCTGCGGCTGACCTCAGCTTTGTGCTGGGACAGGAACTCCCTGAAAGTGGGGGGCTTGGGGGGCCGAGTCCAGGCCTGGTCATCTGCAAGAGAACCCAGGAGGAGTGGGGGACGGGGGGCATGGCACAAAGTAACCCCCATGCCTGGCCCTGCCAGCTGCCGTCCCCCCACCCCCACCCCAAGAACGCCCACTCACCATAGCGGTGGGATGGTTCAAGGGCAGCAGCTGGGCCATCCTTGAACCTGGGGAAAAGAGAAAGGGGGTGAGCCACGCAGCTGGGGGAACAGTGGGGGCCGGAGGGGTAGGGAGAGATAAGGAAGAGATGGGGACCAGGGTCAACATCAAGATCACAGGAGAGATGGTCAACCAGAGGGGGTCCCTGATTAGAAGGCAGACAGGATCAGGTGATGGACAAGAGGCAAACATGACACTGGAGTGACAAATACAGAAAGAAAAAACTCAGTATTTGACACCCCAAAACAAAAATTTAGAAAGTACACGATCCCCAGCCTCCAGTCTAGCTGCAATTCCTATCACTGTCTCCCATCTCCTCGGCTAAGCAGAGTCACCTACCACACAGAACTCCTGCCTCTGGGCCTTGGTACCTGCTGCTCCTGGGACACTTCCCCAGACCTTTCAGTGGCCTGCACCCTCACCTCCTCCAGGCCTCAGCTCAGACCCTCCTAAACACCTATCTAAAATAATCACATACTGGGACGACTGGGTGGTTCAGTCGTTAAGCATCTGCTTTCGGCTCAGGTCATGATCCCAGGGTCCTGGGATCAAGCCCTACGTCGGGCTTCCTGCTCCATGGGAAGCCTGCTTCTCCCTCCCCCACTCCCCCTGCTGTGTTCCTTCTCTCGCTGTCTCTCTCTGTCAAAGAAACAAATAAAATCTTTAAAAAATAAAATCATCACATATTATATATATCACCAAAGTCTAAAACAAGAGCCTCCATCCCT